TGGAGATGAAAAGGTGAAGGCGAAAAGGAAAAAGTACTGACCTGGGAAAGCTTGTAAGGGACATGATAACTTCTCCGTTCTCTAAAAACTGAGATACTTCATCTCTTCTGTATTTCATATTGAATTCCACTATATTAAAATGAGCCAATAACTCTCCATAAGGTTTCCCTGGTGTACTTTCTATCATGTAAGCTGCATATTCAGGTCTCCATGAAGACTTGGCATTTTCTTCATGTTTCTCATTTAATTTTGCTAATAATTCTTGTGCTCTTAAACTAACCTTAGCCGTTTTTTTTTTTTTCATTGAACTTCACAATCATGTATTCTACTTCGTCGCCCCATTTCAATAAATCGTACTGGCGATCTTTTAGACGTTTGTATATGTTGATAAATTGCAACACTCCATGAAGTCTCACATGGTCAGCTAATTTTTTGGTCTCTTCCCAACTAAGAGGGCTTCCTTCAGTTAAAAGACCCATGTAAAATAAATTTCTAACGAAACGTAAATAATATCAAAAACAACGTTGAACGTTTTAGTCTTTCAAGTGAAATAATGTGCTAATCCTCGAGTAGATAGAGGAACACTACATGTATTACACTGTAGGCAAAAAAAGTAAATGTTAATTTCCACAAAAATATATGCAGACCACACTGCAAAAATGATGATGGCCACGTTTAGTGAATTCGCAGAAAAATGATTTTAAAGTTATTAAAAGAACTCGATATATCGGGTATAATTTAGCGTTCTCCGAAACAAGCATGCATGACATTCATCGATTTTTAATTATTTTAAATTATTTCATAAATTGATCTTAAACGTTTACTTATCGCAACTTAAATATCTCTTCACGCAATAACTACACATTGTGATGCATGCGAAAATTATTGTTTGCTTAATAATATGCCAATTTTAACAATTTTCTGCTGTTCCCTTACTGGTAAATGCAAATCAAGAAATGGGAAAAATTAAAGCGATCAGATGCAAAACCCTTTCAATGGTGCATTAGTTTGTAGCGAGCATTTCAAGCACTGTTTTTTTATGTTTAACTGGGTTCAGGAGACTACTTAAAGGCTCTGTATCTTCTACTCTCCAGGGTATTTAATTAAAAAAGCAGTACCTTAATGATTCATATGAACAAGAAGGTGTATACTGTATATGTAACTTTTTATTATGTGGAATAATTCTTTAAGAAACCTTTGCTGTATTTTCCAAGGTATAAGTGAAAACTTGCCATTAGTATCAAGGGTTTCTCTAAGAGGTAAGTATTGGCATGTATTTTCTTTACTAAATTTAAATCGGCAATATAAAGTAATTAAAAAAATCGTGTGCATGAGGTCTTAATATTAAAACAAGTAATTAAGAGGAGTAGAGTTTTAAGAAAATGCGAAGATTATCTCAGGATAAGAAAGAGTGGAAGTGCGTGTCCAACCAGTCTTAGGACTGACGACCTGATGATGATGAATTGTTATAATAACAGAAACTATAGTAGGACTTTAAACAGTAAAATATACTTTTACTTTCGCTTTAAAGAAATATCCAATTGTTAGTTTTCAACAAATTCTATAATATTAATTCTAATCAGTACCTGGATCATGTAAGAGTTAATATTATCTATAAATTTAGGCTACGCTAATACTTAATTAACTTGGACAAAATGTATACACTGATAGAACTTAATATCAGAGATCATTATTGGTAGGATGCTTCAACAGATAACGTACTCAAAAATGCTTTTGTTATGCATTAATCTATCTATCAGGAATTAATGAGTTTTGATAGTGGGAGATGTGAACGAAAAAGGACAGAAAAACAAGATGATAGTAGCTTAATTGGAAAATATGAAGAATTCCTTAAATGACAACATCAAACTTGTGTGAAAACTTTTCCCTAAGAATAATGAACGGTCTCTTCTCCCACAAAATGATTCACCTGTAATTAAGGGTAAAATGTCGTTTGTCGGTTTTCTCAGCAAAAACAACTCACATAGTAGTATTTCAGATTAAGATGATTTGAAGTTGAAATTCAAATTACTCTTTAAACAAATAAGAGTCCATTTCTTTAATATCGTTATGGGTTCACACTTACCACAGTTACAAAGAGCAAATTCTCAACATAATTTTATAGTAGTAAAGAAAAGCTTGCAAATATAAAATGTCTTTTTTCGAGTTCAAAAACTTTTAATCAAATAAACCTAATATTAAAAAAACTAATTTGGCATCAGTATCACAGCCTTATTTCAAATTAAACTGGATGTCAAAGACATATAGGTAAGGAGATTCTTTGTTGCAAAAGCAGTGGCGAAATTATTATGTTTGACTACGCCGGCCAATATGGCTAGAGATGTGCAAAATGGTTCTTTTAAAAGAATTTAAATACAAAATGCAAATGCTTTTTGATTTATTACTTCAAATGTAAAATACAACATAGATTGCCTTTTTGTATTTAAAATTCTAAATGCAAAATACGTATTTTCAAAATACTTTTTTCTAATAAATATTTTTTAAGAAAACTGTGCAGACATTTGCTCATTTTTTAAATATTGGAGTTTTTCTAGACTAATAGTGGTGTTTGCACATTGTAATAAGAGAAAGAAATGAAATCCATAATTTCTAGTTTTTCTAAGAATTTTGGATTATATGCAATTTTTGACACACGACAATATCTTAGAGTTTTCATTTTTACACAGCCAGCGTATATCAATTCGATATTGTTTTGCGGGTTGTTTTGTCGTAATCCATAGAATTTCATAGTTCCTTGCTAAAAGTACAATGAGTGGTGATTTGGCAGGTTCTGATATTAATTTGGAATTTCAAAATTCCATGGACCATGACATTGAACCCGGAAAACAATATCGATCCAATATTTTAGTAGATTATCCATTTCTAAGGAGTTTAGATTTTTTTGGACTCTCTTCAGTTAAAGAATTAGAAGGCATGCAAAATGCTTTTCTCAAAAAAGTATTTAAATGCAAGATAAAAATAGGTATTTTTTATTCGCATTTTAATTGCAATTATTTCAAATAAACCACATCTCTGAATATGATCGATCGTGAAACGATTGCTGATCGATCATAGCCGACTAGAGGCAATCTCAATTTTTTTCAATGAACAAGATGAAAAATGACAAATTTAAATGATGATAGGTATTTGAGTGATTAATTTAACATTATTTACTGACTTTTGAAGTGAAAACTTCTTTAGCGACGTTGGGCACTTTTTGGCAGGGGAAAATGTTATAGGTTCGCGTCACCGACATGCTTGCACTTAGATAAATTTCAATCAAACGTTTTCATTTCTTACTTTAGTTACCATAAGCCTATTGTATTTTTTTTAGAACACAATGAAATAATTGAAAGTACAAAAAGTCTAAGAATTGTTGAAATTAATGATGACAATGATGCAAACAATGTTAAAAATCAAGTACATTGAAATTTATGTAAATATTTGAATAATAAAAAACCATATAAACATGCATATAATTGTTGCTCGGAGTGTCAATAGATGTGAAAACCAGATTGATGTTGATAATTTTTATTCAAACATTGTGAAATTTCAAATTTTAATACTAATAGTTCTAAGTTTTCACTTCTATCGGCAGTCCCTATAACTGCAAATTTTTTTATTATTATAATTACGAGGAAGAACATTAGTAAAAATGAGAATATGCTTAACGCATACAAAACAAAATTTATCATGTTCAAAAATACATTGCAGATATTAATAAAAAGTTACAGTTTTCTTATCCTTTTAAAAAGAATCTGAATATGAAATATGCTTACAAAAAGAGGCATTTTTCACATGGAGAAAAAGGCGGTTGAAAATGAAATTGTAACATTAGGTACAAACTCATATATAATCTTTAATGCCAACAACGAGGAAGATTTTTTGAAATGTCTCAATGTTACCAATTGTAAAGAATTTTATTCTTGTTTTGGATCTCCATTTCCTAGGAAATGTATACAATTTCGAGGCAGTTTAAGAAATCTACGTATAAAGTATTGTTTCAAAGATTTATTAATACACTCATATCTTGAGAAATGTATACATTTCCTGGGAATTGTATAAAATTCCGATATTGTACTAGAAAATGTATAAAACTAATGCTTTCTGTGAATCGAATGAATAAAACACGTTAGTAAACTGAGAATCAGAGTTATCTGTGTTTACGCGGTTCTAGTGCGATCGCCTGATGTATACGCATTGGTGACGTTATTGTTTGGAAATGTATATGCATTAGTGAGGTTATTGTATAGTTATTATGTTATTAGGTAGATTTATCACAGACTGGAGTTTCTGCCCGCCGAAGACCGACTGATATGTTGGAATAATATCTTCGAAAAGTATGCTTCATTAAGATTTCCGCGCCCAACATATATATATGAAAATGGTCAGCATTATCACCTCTACAACATACTAAAAATTCAAGGTCATCGTATTTGATGAAACAAAGATAACCTCGTCACATTATTCTTACATTTAACATATCAGGGGCATTGGTGAAACTCCAATCTATCATAAATCTCCCTAATCAAACAATGACCAATGAATGTAGGTACATCTCCAAACAGCCTACCGTATTATTATACCTATCTAGTATTAATTGTAATGCATTTTTGATTGCTATTTAGGAAATGTATAGATTTCCTAGGAAATGTGTCTAATATAATTTATTTCACACATTTCCGGGCGATTTTAGGAGTTATATACATTTCCTAGGAAATGTATAGAATGATTTTCATACATTTTCGGTAACGTATACAAAGAACCCATTTAAATTTAATTCATTACATTTACTTTTCGAGTGTAATGATGTTGCTTGTCAATTGCCTAGTGTATTGCGCGTTGATAGCCATATGGTAATATTTGATCATACATTACTGTAAGAGTTCTTATTAATAGAATGGCTACTGTAAATATATGTTTCCATTATCAGCAAAGCGGACGACGAAATGAGGAAAAAATATTTTTGTTAAACGCGATTTCTTGTTGTGAACTATAGTTTCCGATCACTTGTTACACGTTACTTTTTAAAGCACTTATTCAGTTCAGTTTTTGAATGTTAATTATGACAAATGGTGAATTGTACAAGTTTTCTACCAGGGTACCGTTGTTTTTATTTGAAATTTGAGTTTCTAAATGAGTAAATATACGTAAGTTCTTATAGGTTGATACGTCCAACATCACATTTATAAACGATATTTGGATTATTGTAAGTACAGATCAAGTTATAATAAAAACATCTGCAGTCTTTCCCGTGGTGTTATGGGGTATATTTGGAAATATTCTTCTATTGTACGCAATTGTCACACGTCCCAATATGAGAACGCCAACATGTCTTTTGATTGGAAATATGGCCCTTGCGGATCTAATATTTTCTACATTCTTTCCAGCTGTTTTTCTCGTATACGACTTTTTTCAAAATTATCAACTGGGTAATTTTGGGTGTAAAGTGGAAGGGGCATTTGAGTGTAGGATAATTTTTTTTTCACATTTACATGAATATTTATCACTACCGATTTTTTTAGGCACTGTTTTGCTTGCAAGTGTGATGAGTTTATTAACGATTAGTTATGATAGACTGACGGTAATTGTTTTACCTGAAGAAACAAGATTGACGCCTAAAACAACAAATATTTTGCTGGCTTTAAGTTGGATTTTCGGTTTAATTCTGGCAAGCCCGCTGTTTGTTTTTAGAGAATACAGGGTAAAGTATATTAGTTAAGAATTTCGTTTACAGCAGTTGTGTGCGAATATTCAAAAATTTCGAGTGATACGATTTTTAATACTATGTTTTTTCTTTTAATCTCAATTTTTCTCTAGAAATTAAAAAGTGGTGACTAATGTATAATGTTGCCCATTTTTGAAAAAGTTGAGTGATGTGACTTACGCAGTTTACGTATTACACTCGATGAATTTGTTTGAGCCCATGAAGCCCTCAAACGTTTTACTATTGATTGCTGCTGTTGTTTTTTTAATCAAGTATGCAGTTTCACAAAATCTGCACCAATAAATGCTTGAATTACCTATTTCAATGTAATTCGGGATGTTCAGATTCAGAATACATTTACCTTAAACTTTAATCTGGAAATTTTAAGTATTAGAATTATTGTTGGTTTATTGACCGAGCGGCATGGCCTAGAGATTTAGATCATTGCTTAAGGACGTTTGGGAGGTATGTCAAAATGCTACGAGACAAGTAAAAATTTGGAAGAACGTTCCTCAATTAATTCTAAAACTCCTGTAAAAAGCACAAATCGATTCGCTAAACCGTTAAGAAGTTATTGAAATTTTAAAAAATTGTAATTTTACACGTCATTTTATGGAGATTCGTTAACCGAACAGATTAAATTTATTTTTATTAACAGAAAAAAAGCTACCAGAAATTTCAAACTTTTATAATAAGTAACTTGAACTCTGGAGAATC